ATACAATGGTAATAATGGTAGGTAAATATAATAAGATCAAGAATTTAAATGAAGAAAATGATAGAGAAATATTTAATCACGCCAACCACTGAGTAAAGGACTAAAACTGCAGATATTTCCTTTGGAGATAGAAATATCACCAAAACGAAAACAAAACCGAAATATCACCAAAACGAAAATGATAAATATATTAGGTTGTCAAATATCTCCCTTCCGCTTTTTTGCTCTTGGTTTATGATACAAAAAGGCGGAAGGGAGATATTTGACAACTGAATTATTACAAATTCAGTTTCCAACTTTCTAATAATACTCTATTACCCTTATCCCATACAATAATTAAAACATTCGCGCATTTGTTTTATATTGCTCTTATCAGTTATCGGGAATGTTTTATAATTTCATGGCACATATTTATATAAATGTTTAATATTTTCCATTTTATATTATAAACTATTTCGACGTTATCAAAACGTTGCCGAGGCACTTATCAGTGTTTGAATAAGTGCATATCAATTTAAAACAAAAAAAAATGACTCACGCCTTTAATTGTGTTCCTGGTTAGAATGGCGAATGGCTTATCGGTATTAGATTGAGAATTAGTCATGTAATATATGGTTATATATATATATATATATATATATATATATATTTGATTTGAGTTTAAAATTCGGGCGTAACATCAATAAAAATAGTATGAAAGTTTTTTTTAAATATTTATTTATTTAAAATCCATACGTTTCGGCTAGCATCTTAGCCTTCATTCAGTGGCAATCAATTTAACTTTAACAGTTAAAACTAAATAAATAATAAGTAAGAAATTTCATAGAAAAACAATAATAATGATAATAATAATAATAAAACACCTACAATTTTGTATCCTAATATAGCATATGAAACCATTATTAATCCATGGTATGAGTATGTGCACATTGATAAAATATATATTTTTTAACATCACAAATGGTAAAACACACAAATAACCAGGATAACTTAACAAGTTGCCGAAACTATGTATTTACTGTTCGGAGTTTAAGATAGAAATGTCGCAGTTTTCAGCATGTGTTCAAATTTTACGGAAAATTTAAAAATCGATGGAACCTTGTCATTTTTTAAGAAATTTTGACACCCTATTTAGGAACCACGTGTTTGTTTCGTTCAGGGCCGTATTGTCAAAACGTTTGTTTATGACCCTGTCGTTATGCAATTGCAAAAACAACCCCTCAGCGAATATTCTTTTAATTACGTTCATTTCAAAATGTAAAATTTTAGGGTTGAAAAAATCTATATTATGGTTTAAATTTTTAATATGTTCGGTTAACATCGTCTTAAATTGCTTGGGATTTTTTGAGTCATTTTTATGTTGATGGAGGCGTTTACTCAGGTTTTGGCTAGTTTCCCCGATATAAAAAAGTTCACAAGTATTGTCACTAACATTATGACATAAGAATTATATATATATATATATATATATATATATATATATATCCTGCTTTTACTAAAGATCCCCCAGCTGATGATATTATTCTCGCAGTACTAAATCAATATATGCGTCTGGTTCAGCTCAAAATGTTACAACAGGAGTTCTACTCGCAAAAACATAAATATTGAATCAAATAATATGTGGGCTAAAGAATTGGTATCAAATTTAATCAGGCGTACCACATAAAACCTAACCTACAAAACGCCTGAACATCAAATAACAATTTTATCATATTCCGATATCTCATTGGAAAGACAATCATAAAGTTGGGTTTTATATGTAAAATATCTTATTGCACAGGAAATACATAGCATTTTGATAGTTTGTTGCTACCGACTCATACAAATATAGACCCGTAACGGAGTTGGCTTCAGAAAGATACACACATACATTTTGCAATTATGGTGCCAAAAGATTCAGAATGACTCAACGTCACAAAAATGTGATAAAAGCAAATTGGATGTTCCAGCTTCGGGAAATTAACCCTTTCCACTCGGATGCCGCAGCTCCGACGGCAAAATTCATGCAAATCTCGGAACTAGCGTGTGGAAAGGGTTATTAATACGTATCATTTTTATGCTGCTTAAGTCTTAAAAAAGTCTCTTTTACCATTACAATTCATCTTAAACTTCAGTAAAAAAAATCCGCCATTTCCTAAATAATAAAACTGCAAACTTGCATAGCAACTACAGAGCACTTCATTCCGCTTTTACATAACCAAACACTTACACTCACACAAACTTACAACGATAAACTCGCCTGTGGGCTGATGGCAAGAAAGAGAGCACGCTATTGGGGATTGAATTGGGGAGATATGTCTGTCACGCTCTAGCCGGCATCGGGAATGTAAAGTATATACACTAGGTTGTATATATACACATGTAATAGACAAATATACATGTATGTATATATATGTATAAATATACATGATGTATATATACATATACAAATGTATATGTATATTATATACATATGTATATCCAGTGCCAATTATATACTAGACAGCATGACTACACTCGGTGCTTACGTCATGTACCATATAGTGCAACCCAACTGTTTAAAACCGAGTTTCGATTATACAAAATTATATAATTTTCCAGCTGTATTATTTATAGTAAAATTTCAAAAAGTAAGTTAAAATTTTCTTCAATGTTTAAACATTAAGTTGCTGTAAAAATTATATGACATAATTGTTTCTATTTATTTTATTTAATTAAATAGAGCGATGAATGCCAGCCAAACCTTACTTGGTATTCAATATCGATTTGAAGGTATACCAAGTTGTTGTAGGGTCTTATAATGTTAGACAAACCAGTAGATAATTTAATTTTGTACAGGTTTGCCGAAAACAAGATTTAAATTTAGCAAATAGTTTAAAAGTTATTCAAGATATAATGGGAAAATGTACTTGGAAATGAATAATTTTCGTTAAAGTCGATTCATAGTTTTCTTTAACGGTTCTAGAGTAGAGCTAGTTGCTGTTGGGTCTTATAATGTTAGAAAAAATTGTTATTTATTCAATTTTGTACAAATTTGCCAAAAACACTATTTGAATTCAGCTAATAATTCAAAAGTTATATATGATGTAACGAACAAGTGTACCTGTGCCAAGTAAATTTTGTTGCATCGCACTAATTAGCTTCAGGATTTTATTGTAACATTCAATATTAATTTTAAAATATACCGAGTTGTTCTAGAGTCGTATGTTGTATGTAAAAGTTGTAGAGTATTTAATTTCGTACAAATTTGCAAAATATTTCATTTACTTTATGCAAATGTATCAAAAGTTACAAGAGTTACAACAAAAATACGCAAGAGTACATTTAGCGCGTTAAAATTAATATTTTATTAACTTCCCAAAGGAGAAGTTTATGTTTTCATCAAAAAATCCGATTCGCTAACTTTATGTTTTCTCGACGTTTCAAGCCATTCTGAATCGAATTAGACCAAATTTAAGGGAACAGTATGTGTGTGTGTGTGAACAGATTTTTTGCCGTAAATCGACGTTTTCTCAAAAACGGTTAGACCGATTTCAAAAATTTAAAAGCCATTCGATGTATTTCGATGAGGACTAGCGTTTCAGAGTTTTGTGTGACGATCGGCCCAGCCGTCTCTTTGTAAATCGCAAAAAAGTGAAAAAAATTTCGTCCACGTTTTAGCCCGCAGTTCTTAATCGATTTTGAAAATTCAAAAACCGTTCGAAAGATATTGGTTGAGAATCGTGCCGATTAGTTTTTGGTAGAGATCGACCGGGCCGTTTTCTGGTAATGAAGTTTTTTAAAAAAAAATTTCGTCGATTGTTATGATTATTTTTTTGACGGTAGATATATTAGTCTACGACCCTACGACAATTCGTTTAGCTTTAAAAATTCATCAAAGTATGCAAAAATTAGTATCGTTCTTTTGGCATTTGTCAAAATTAGACTTTTGATCGACGTTTTCTCAGAAACGCCTGAACCGATTTCAGAAATTTAAAAGCCATTTGATGTATCTCAATGAGGACTATCGTTTGTCAGTTATGTGAGACGATCTACCTAACCGTTTCTTTGTAATTTGAAAAAAAGTGTTAAACTTTTCGTCCACATTTAAGCTCAACCTACCGAACCGATTTTAAAAAATCAAAAACTGTTCGAAAGATATTAGTTGAGAATGGTACTGATTAGTTTTAGGTGAAAATCTATCGAGCCGTTTTCTTGTAATTAACTGTTGAAAAAAAAATTCAAGCGGATTTTTATGGAACTTTTTTGGCGATATATATCATGGTCTTATATTATAGAACTTACTGAAATATTAATGCCTTACGACATGTAGCTTAATTTTAAAAGTTCATCAAAGTTTAAGAAAATGAGTAGTTTTGTCGACGTTTGTTAACATTAAAATTAGACGATTTACTTGGTATAACTATAGAGTACTTGGTTTTAATGAACATACTAACCCATTAAAGTCCTATGGAAACTGGTTCAATTATAAAAATGGTTGATTTTTGAAAATTTGCTATTAGAAAATACTCCGAGTTAACGTGTTCGTTCATTTGCAATTATGTGTAATAAACCCTAATAATTCTTCTAATCACTCATAAATTAAATTATTTTTTTTGATTAAGTCGATTATTTACACATATCGGGAAGTTCATGTAACTTGCCTCGACTAAATACCAAACCAACTAGTTATTCATTTTCCGGTGAATTTGAAAGTATACCGAGTTGCTGTAGGGTCTCAAGTTGTATGAAAAAGATGTAGATTATTTAATTTTGAACAAATTTGCCAAAAACACTATTTAAATTCCGTGAATAGTTTAAAAGATATTTAAGATTTAATAAACAAATGCACTTGTAAATTTTAGTTAAAGTCAATTCATAGTGTTCTATAACGGTTTTAGAGTATAAGGAGTTGCTGTAGGGTCTTATAATATTAGACAAAGTTCTTGTTCATTCAATTTTGTACAAATTCCCCAAACATTCCATTTACCCCAAACAAACCATTTAAAAGTTACAAGAGTTCAAATAAATAAACGACCTACCTTATTATCCTTAACCGCCTCTCCTCTCTCTCTGTCCCTCACGACTCTAGCAGCTGTTTCTGCTTCCCTGGTGTAGTAGAGTTTCGAACCGGCCAGCAGTAGCAGCACCTGCCGCCAGACGCGCTGCTGGGCGTGAGCGTTGCCGCAGGACGGCCCAGCGCGGATCCAAACCAGGCCGACGAGGGTGAACTTGGGGTTGGTGGAAATGTTGGCTGATGACGATTGGGCAAACACGGAGGACGAAGACTGAAGTAGTAATTGACAAGTTTAAAAATATAAAGTTTTCTGTATAATTATTATATTTAGTGAATAGCTATTTACGAATCAGGAAACATGAACTCTGAGGAAAGTCGATAAAAAGACCTGTACGGTTTCAAGATTTGGTGCTGTAATAGATGGAGACGAGAAATTGGACAGGAAAGGTGCAAATAAGGAAGTACTGCGCCAAATGATAGAGAAATAGAGAAAAGACCTCTACTGCCTATCATATTGGTCCACTACTATTTATTATTTTCATTAATGACATTTCTGATACTATTAACTGTCCACATTTACTATTTGCAGATGATCTGAAACTATATCTCAAAATAAATTCTATTGATGACTGCTCATTATTACAGTCTCAACTTGACCTTTTCCAATCTTGGTGTATCTATAACAAATTACATCTAAATATATCAAATTGCAAGATTCTTAGCTTTACACATAAGCGCGTTCCAATACTTTTTGATTATAAAATTTCTAACACCAGCATTGATAGATGTTATAAAATTTCCGATTTAGGTGTTCTATTTGATTCTGGTTTGTTTTTCACAGATCATGTAATTGATATTTGTAATAGAGCACATCGATCTTTAGGTTTGATACTAAGAAATTGTAAACAATTTAAGTCTACCAATGCACTTCTTTGCATGTACTATTCTATTGTACGTTCAAAATTAGAATACGGTTCGATTATTTGGTATCCTCATCATATCAACAACTCTGATGCGATAGAGAAGGTTCAGCGAAAATTTCTGAAATACCTTTATTATAAAACATATAAAATTTACCCTGAACGTGGCTTTGACCACAACACTTTACTAAAAGAATTTGGTATTCCTTCCCTTGCCTCACGTCGATTTATCTGTACAATTATGTTCTTATTTAAGCTTTGCAATAATTCTATAGACTGTCCTCTTATTCTCAATCAACTATCCTTTAATGTTCCAAGGCTATCTTCGCGTTCACAATTATTTTTCAATTATCCTACCCCTAAATCTAATTCTCTCTTAAATTCGCCAATTTTACTTATGTCCTCTAACTTTAACTTAATTAATAATGAAATAGACATTCACAACACTTCACCTAATCAAATAATCTCCATCTGCACAAGTTAATCTTTTTATTTTCTTTCAAATATCTCATTATTTTCTTATTCTGTTTATAAATATTATTGTTACATTCTGCATTATATGCAATTTTATCTTAGCATTTTATGTTACTAACTATATATTGTAATTTTGTATATATTTTATTTGTTATTCATTATTTTAAATAATTGTATTTTTGAGTCCTCTTAGAGAAATCTGTGGGCTATATATTTAAATAAATAAATAAATAAATAAATAAATATTGGAAAAAGAGTTCATTCTGCAGAACAGCAGAAAAATAGTGAACTTACCGTGTATATAGGATTGATAAAATCGTCAATAGCACTTGCAACCATCATGTCAGTCGGGAAAAAATTCTGGAACAAAAAAATGAAATAATTAAAATCTTAGTTTTAAACAATAGGTCAAGAGTGATATATCACAAAACATCAAAGCATCATAAATAAATGTTTTTAAAAAAGAAATCATAATTAATAATGAAAAGTTAAAAGTATAATGACCATGTAGTGACATAATACCAATACACAGTATAAGTGCAACAGAGGGTCTATTGTGCCCAAATTAATCGCTTACATCGATGATGTAACTTTAATACACGTTCTTCAAATTTTTAATATTTTTTTAGCATTCCAAAGGAGAAGTTTATGTTTTCATCAAAAAATCCGATTCGCTAATTTTATGTTTTCTCGACGTTTCAAGCCATTCTGAATCGAATGAGACCGAATTTGGAAAATGTAAATCGACATTTCTCTAAAATGGCTGGACCGATTTCAAAAATTTAAAAGCCATTCGATGTATTTCGATGAGGTCTATTGTTTGTCAGTTTTGTGCGACGATCGGCCAAGCCGTTTGTTTCTTTATGAATCGCAGAAAAGTGGAAAAATTTTCGTTTACGTTTTAGCCCGCAATTCTGAATCTATTTTGAAAATTCAAAAACCGTTCGAAAGGTATTGTTTGGTAATCGTGCTAATTAGTTTATGGCACAGATCGGCCGGGCCGTTTTCTTGTAATAAAGTTTAAAAAAAAATCGGCGATTTTTATGATTTTTTTTTGACGGTAGATATCATAGTCTTCTAGATCATACTAAAATATTACTGCCTACGACAACTCGTTTAGCTCTGAAAATTCGTCAAAGTTTGCAAAAATTGGTGTCGTTTTTTTGGCATTTGTCAAAATTAGACCTTTCATTGACATTTGCTCCAAAACGCCTGAACCGATTTCAGAAATTTAAAAGCCATTCGATGTATCTCAATGAGCCCTATAGTTTGTCAGTAACGATCTGCCGAGCCGCTTCTTTGTAATTTGGAAAAGAGTGTTAAACTTTTCATCCACATTTAAGCTCATCCTATCGAACCGATTTTAAAAAATCAAAAACTGTTCAAAAGATATTAGTTGGGAATGATACTGATTAGTTTTAGGTGAAAATCTACCGAGCCGTTTTCTTGTAATTAACTGTTGAAAAAAAAATTTAAGCCGATTTTCATGGAACTTTTTTCGGCGATATATATCATGGTCTTACAGAACTTACTGAAATATTACGGCCTTAGGACAAGTAGTATAATTTTAAAAATTCATCAAAGTTCGAGAAAATGAATATTTTTTTGACATTTGTTAAAATTAAAATTAGATGATTTACTTGGTATAACGATAGAGTACTTGGTCTTAATGAACATACTAAACAATTAAAGTCCTACAAAAAATTGGCTCAATTATAAAAATTATTGATTTTTCAAAATTTGCTTTTAAAAAATACTCTGACCGGGTTGACGTGTTCGATTTTCAATAATGTGTAATAAATCCACTTCGAATACTTTTAACTACTCATAAATTAATTTATCTATCATGAATGAAGTCGATTATTTACACATATCGGGAAGTTCATGTAACTTGCCTCAAGGCAAAATACCAATACCAACTAGTTTATTATATATTTTTGTGAAAACATACTTGTGATTTAGTTGAAAATATATTTTATACGCGTTTATTTTGTTTTAATTTCATTTATTCCAATTAATCAAGCTTATCATTTTTATATTAAATATTTAAATAAATCTTATCTAGTTTTCAACCTATTGGTAAATTTACGTGCTACAGTTAGTGGCGCACTCTATCGAGTCCCTAAAAACTAGAATTGAAGTAATGTCAAAGCAATTTATTTCTGCTTATTTATCTACGATTTTGTTACCGCTGTGTGGTCGTAGCCTAATAATGACTGTTGAGTGTTGAAATTCATTCGAAAGGTTCTTGAGTGATTTATTGAGATCTTTGACATTGAGATGAATAGGAAGAAAATTAGATTTGTTAAATACAACAATGTGTTGTGTTGAGGTTTTGCTAATTTATTTTACTCGTACCATTTATAGTACAAATACTTGTATTTAACTTTGCTTTATTAAAGTTGCATAATGTTTTGTAATTGTTTTTGCGAAAGCACTACTTACTTTCCTGGTTTCGTCTAAATAATATAAAAGTCGTTAAAAGTTGTGCAAAGTTACAAAGTTGTTGGAGCATAAATATAATAAACTGAGTCTGCTGCATCATAATTTTCTGCGAAAATAAATATTTTTTTTATTTCGTTTCATTAAGTTTTTATGTTTTTTTATACAACTTTTGTATATATATATATATATATATATATATATACAAACAAAATAAAGGATGGTACCACAATGGAGTTTTACGACCGAGTCGTAAAAATGTTATTTGCAAATTTCTGTATAAATGCAGTGCCAAATTATGCACGAATGCACTTTTTGAATACATCATACACACACGCTATATATATATATTAGGGTGGTCCTTAATATGGACATTTTCGAATTTCCATGCTCCCAAGGGTTCAAATGGTTCCAAATTGATAAAAAACAATTCTCTGAAAATTTTGGCTCACAATATTAACGTTTAGTTAGACAGAGCGCAATTCAATCAAAGTTTGTATGGAAATAGCATGGAAAAAATTTCAAAAATTTTGCAGAGCGTCGAATTTTCAATGAAAAATGATACGAATTTTAACTTTTAATTCATTTGTCGCTAAGTTATACATAAAAATTTTTTTTTTTAATTTTAAAATTTTTTTTATTGCTATTTCCATACGAAGTTTGATTGAATTGTGCACTATCTACAAGTTAATATTAAGATCTAAAACGTTCAGAGACTTAATCAATAAAAAATAAATTAATTTATGAGAACAAACACTTTGACTCGGAGTATTTTCTAAAAACAAATTTTCAAAAATCAACAATTTTTATAATTGAACCAGTTTCCATAGGACATTAATGGGTCATGTACTCTATCGTTATACCAAGTAAATGGTCTATTTTTTAATTTTAACAAACGTCAAAAAACTCATTTTTTTACAATTTGGTGAATTTTTAAAATTAAACTACTTATCGTCAGGGCGTAATATTTCAATAAGTTGTATAAGACCGTGATATATATCGTCAAAAAAAGTTCCATAAAAATCGGTCTAAATTTTTTTTCAACAGTTAATTACAAGAAAACGGCTCGGTAGACTTTCGCCTAAAACTAATCAATATCATTCCCAACTAATGTCTTTCGAACAGTTTTTGATTTTTTAAAATCGATTCGGTAGTTTGAGCTTAAATGTGGACGAAAAGTTTAACACTTTTTTCTAAATTACAAAGAAACGGCTTGGCAGATCGTCGCACAAAACTGATAAACGATAGTCCTCATTGAGATACATCAACTGGCTTTTAAATTTCTGAGATCGGTTCTGGCGTTTTTGAGAAAACGTCGATCAAAGATCTAATTTTGACAAATGCCAAAAAAACGATACTAATTTTTGTAAACTTTGACGAATTTTTAAAATTAAACGACTTGTTGTAGAGCCGTAATATTTTAGTATGATCTACAAAACTATGATATCTACCGTCAAAAAAAAATCATACAAATCGTCAAATTTTTCTTTTTAAGACTTTATTGCAAAAAAACCAAATCTTTACCAAAAACTAATTAGCACGATTCCCAACTAATATCTTTCGAACGGTTTTTGAATTTTCAAAATCGATTCAGAATTGCGGGCTAAAACGTAGGCGAAAAATTTTCCACTTTTCTGCGATTTACAAAGAAACGGCTTGACCTATCGGCGCACAAAACTCAGAAACGCTAGTCCTCATCGAGATACATCGAATGACTTGTAAATTTTTGAAATCGATCCAGCCGTTTTTGAGAAAACGTCGATTTACGGCAAAAAATCTGTTCACACACACAGATACTTTTTCCAAATTCGGTCTCATTCGATTTAGAATGGCTTGAAACTTCGAAAAAACATAAAATTAGCGAGTCGGATTTTTTGATGAAAACATAAACTTCACCTTCGGGAAGTTAAAAAATGCAGACATACAAAAAATACACACACACATCCATTTTTTCTGAGGTATGCCCTTTAAAAATGTTCAGAAACCTACAAAACGTCGAGAAATGCAAAAATTTTCATTTTCGATTTTCGACCCATTACTATAACTACCCTACGGGAAGTTAACTAGTATGACATATATTTTTAAGGTAAATATAGGTATTAATTCCGCTGAAAAATTAGACAGTATATGGGTTCTTCAACATAAGAAACCGGTAACCTAACACATCTATTTGATCCTAGAATTTATCCCTAACTGTCAATTACCGAAATAACTAAAATAAATAGTACTGCCGAAAAATTGGACGGTATACCTGTTTTTCGGGGTACCAGTATACCAGTCTTCATTCAATAAACTAAATACAACTGCTCAACATAAGACTCTGGTGACATAACATAGATATTTGATTTTCTGTCATTTACCAGTGCGACCCCACCCTCACCATTCATCCGTCCATCCATCAGAGCAACGTCTGATTTTTTCCACGGAGCGGCATAAATCTCTCGTTTTAGCGATAAATCGCACACGATCTGCGCTGTTGCTGTTGCGGATAATAATAAATTTTACGACCGCCGCGGTACCGCCACCACCACCATATTACCACAATGAAAGAATAGAAAGTCATTTCCCGTCGGTCGCCGCCGCCGTCGACGATGCTTTTGACGCAGCCGCCGCCATCGTCCTCCTGCTGTCAATGGACCCATAAAATTATTTACGACGGAGGAGAAAGGGCCGCATTGTAATGGAAATGTAATAAAATGTAATTAAATGGTGAGAAATCGGAGAGAAATTTGAGGTGAAGGTAGTGGTGTAGAAGTGTGGTGCTTTGAGATGAAGACTGCATTGAACGGGAGGAAGAATAAGGAGATATCGAATCTAATAGGACATCTTACGATATAGAATTTGAGTTGAAAGAAAGCTTGGGATTGAAGACAAAAGTGTTAGTCTAGAATTATGATTCAGTATAAGGACTTCGTTAAAGACACTGGACAAAGCAAGCAGGATTAGACAAACTGAACAATTTTGCACATATCAGTAAAGCATATATCTTCTGCAACAACCGAAGGAGCACATTTTGATTGAAGGTAATTTTGTTAAAAAACTATCTGTAAGTGGAATTTTGTCAAGGCAATTAAGGCATCGTGCCTTAAGGCAAATTGCTGGAACTTCCCGTACCAAAAATTATTATTTTTTTAAAAGCGATTAACATTTTTGAAAAAAATTTATTTCGAAAAAATAAGATTTTTGACAAACAATTAGACAAAAAATTACTTTTTTTTGAAAAAAAAATTTTTTTTATATTTTTTTTTTTTGAAAAAAAAAATGTTTTCTTTATTTTGACATATTTTGAAAGATCTAAACTTTTTTTCAAAGTAATCGTACTGCTTTAACTGCATAAAGACGAAATATCAAACCGCGTAAGCGCCGCGTCGACGTCTAACGAATATCATTGGTACGAAACCCATAGGAATGCAAACAAAATTTATACTTATTGTTAAAATCTCTATAAAATATCTGATAATTTCATGTGCATATGTCTAATGATCATTTTTGACCGCCAAATGGCTCATTTTTTTACTTTTTTCGTTAGATCTCCGAAACCGCTAGACCTGCCTTTATGAAAATTTGATCGGTTCTTCACCTTGTCAATACAAGTAAAATGTTTTTTCAATTATTAAATCGAACGCTCCGTTCTCTTAAAAACTGAGTTACCGTTTTCGGCACTTTTTGCCCCGTATCTTCGGAACGGCTAGACCTGACTTCGCCAAAAACTAATCAGCACGTCTCCTTATCAATACGAATTGAATGTTTTTTTAATTATTCAAATCGGTTGATCGGTGTTCCCGAAATCGTCGACGAAAATTTGTATCCGCACATACATACACACACGCACACACACACACACACACACACATACATCCATTTTTTCTAAGGTATGCCAAAATATTCAGAAACCTTTGAAACGTCGAGAAATGCAAAAATTTTCATTTTCGATTTTTTTGCGATTACTATAGCTTAACTTCCCTATGGGAAGTTAAAAATTCAACAATTATTCCTCTTTATGTAAAGAATTATTTAAAAGCATCGTACCTTAAGGCAAATTGCCGAAACTTCCCGTACCAGAATTAAATATTCGAGGGGAAAAAATCAATAATTAATAAATATTGATAAATGATTAATAACAATCGTTTTAAACATTTTCAAATAGGCAATTACAATCATTATGTATTTTATCGTTCATAAAATATACAGTTACTATCTTATCGCTTGAGAAAGTTTACATTATATTAGCAAGAGGTGCCGAATGAATCCGTCTGAGGATATATTTCTTACGATTAGGATAACGCATTTGAAATATATAGGTACATTTTCAAACTGAACAGTAAATTTAAAATTCATGTTAGAAGTATAAAATTTTGTATATTTTTGAAAATTTTTAAAAGTGTCAAAAAAAAATTCGAAAATTTTGAAATTTGCTTGATCCGTATAAGTAAACTTTAAAAATAAGCAATCATGGTACGGAAACCAACAAAATTATAACAAGAAAAAACTTCATCAAATATATCCGATAATTTGATGTGCATATTTCTAATGCTCATTTTTGACTACCAATTATCATATTTTTTAATTTTTTATCCGTGTCTCCAAAACCGCTAGACCTGTCTTCCCAAAAATTTAATCAATTCATTCGTCAATACAAGTAGCATGTTTTTTGAATCATTCAAATCGGGTACTCTGTTCTTTCAAAAATTGAATTACCGTTTTTGGCACTTTTTGCTCCGTATCTCCGAAACGGCTAAACCTGCCTTTGCCAAAAACTAATCAGCACATCTCCCTATCAAGAGGAATCGAATATTTTTTGAACCATTCAAAACGGTTGATTTGTGCGCCCGAAATCATGTTCGGAAAAATGTGTCCAAACATACATACATATATACATACAGACATACATACATACATACACATACATCCATAATTTGAGAGGTGTGCCAAAATGTTCAGAAACCTTTAAAACGTAAAGATATAAACATTTTCATTTTCGATTTTTGTGCGAAATATGTGTGGAATTTTTGACCATTTGTGCAAGACCAGAAAAGTAGTGTTTCAAAATTCAAGACTATGGTGCCAATTTTGCGGTAACATAGCTATTGTTATGGCAACACTATATTATCCTTCCTTCTTGGTACTAAAAATTGCGAAAATTATATATATTTGCTGTATAATCAGGCGTTTCACACATAAAACCGTATGATATAAATGCGTATCAATAGGATGCAGTTATCATAACATTCTTTCTAGGTTCGTTTATATGTAAAATATGCCTTATCGCACAGCAAATAGATAAAAATTTCACAGTTTTTAGTACCAAGTAAAATTCATAACATATCGTAGTCATAATGACTGATATATCTTAGTATCTCATTGACATAATATAGTCCTTCAAAAAATTATACTGTACGTTTCGTCACTAAATATGTGTCAACGTTTTTAAAATCTAAATGTAACCATATGTATGTTATGTTTCAGGAGTACTAGAGATATTTATTTAGTACGTTTTGGCACTTAATATGTAAAATCAATTTCAAGATGTAAGGATATTTATTCTGCACGTTTTGACACTAAATATGTGTCATCAATCTGAAAATCTAAACGTTACTAGATGTGTATCATCTTTTCATCTTAGATAATAATTCGGAACGTTTGGCACTAAATGTGTGCCATCACATTGAAGGTCTAAATATATTTTTTATTTCTAGGTGTGATATTTATTCTGTACGTTTTGACACTAAATGTGTGCCATCATATTCAAGGAGTAAAAATATTTAGTTTAACGTATTGATACTGGATGTGTGTCATCATTTAGCAGGAAAAACATACAAAAAAGAAAAAAAACGTAATTATTGAAAAAGCATAAAATAAATAAAAACATTTTATGATACTTTTTTTTAAAAAAAGTTCTTACCACAAAATTATGCTTATAATAATTATATCTATTATTTATCATTAGTGTACTTTATGCTTATTTAACCAAATTGTTTATATTCACTAATGATGACATAAAATCATATGTCGAAACGAATTAATACAGATTCTATAAAAATTATATGTATATATATATATATATATATATATATATATATTATAAAAAAGAAATAATCCACATATAAATTCCGAGTTCCGAATTCGAACAACAGATGCCGCCACCATTTTCGCGATTCTGAATCAAAACCAGGTTCGTACTTTGCCACGTTATGATAATAATAAAAGCAAATAAAATTTAATAATAGTAATTTAGAAAACAAATTTAAAACAAACACAAATACAAGAGTATTTTTTCTGCATTATGCGACATAAATAAATAAACCGAAAGTTAAAATACAAGTAAACAAAATTTCACACAAAAAGTAATAAATGATTAAAACTATATATATATATATATATATATATATATATATATATATAATATTTATTTATTTACCTGTGGGTCTGCAAAATAATCGTATTTCCTAGGGTCTTTCCTAAAGACGAAACGTTTTCTTGCTCGTTTGGAAAAGCACTGCATTTCCCTGTAAGTCCTCAGGACATCCTCATGATCTTCGAGAGGACGTTCTGAAAATAAAAAAAAAAATCACAAAAGACTAAAAAAAAGTACTCTACTGACACGCAAATTAAGCAACAACCTAGAAGATGAGAAGAGAACTTTAGTGTCAAGTAAACTTGATTCTCGAGATTAAATTAATACAAAGACTGAACACTTTGATAATAAACTTTGACATGAAGAAGAAAGATCAGAGAAATGGACTCTAAGAAATGTAGACAAAAGCAAGCTATAGTAAAAAATAGATCGATGACAAGGTCGACAATGAGGAAATACAGTAAAGTTTATTGTCTGAAGGTTATTCTTGTGGATCTAAATAAGGAAAAACTGGAAAAAAGGGCTGAGGTGATTGATGAGAGTTAGATCAACAAGAATGTAAAAGTTGAACGACTTTGGGCAGAAAAACACAAACTTGAAAACAGAAACCAGGACATAAAAGTTCCATAAAAAAAACTGTGAGCAAGGACAAAATTTGGGTAAAAAATGTGATGTCCATTAACACTTATATAATTATCCAGCCTAACAGTCTAAGCGTAACTCTGGTACAAATGTTTACCCAAGTGGGTTTAGACTGTTTATTGAAAGATGTAAAAATGCCGCCGAGCTAAGCACTTATATAAGTGCAAATTTTTTAAAATATTCTAAAAAATTAAAAAATACCAGAAACAAGCCTCTTTCTTGTTATATTACAATTTCTTACATTTTTGGATTTCAAATAATAATTCAATTAATAATTTGCCTGAAATTACATTAGACCATGAATACACAACTAACTAGTCCATCAATTATTATTTGAAATTTTATAGGTCAGGGTCAATTATTAGGCTCCGTCAATACACAATAACAAAATTCGTGGCAAAATGATTTTATTGCAAAATGGCACGCATTTTGCGAATTCGATTGACAATCAATATTGATACAGTTGAATAAACGATATCACACCATATTCGTAACATAATATAAATGATATATATATATATATATATATATATATATTATATATAATATTTTTGCAGCCCAATCGTCGAATTAAAAAAAGATTAATAACAAAATTATTTATTCCATTAAACGTTTCGACACTTGATGTGTGTCATCATCCAGTAATCAAACCAGCAAAAATGACAGAAAAAATGAGTATGATGTAAAATTGATTGAACACTAAATTTGTGTAAAATAATAATATACTATTATATTAACAAAGGAGAAATTGAAGGAGCACATATTGCCCTCCTATATTTTATGTTATTAATAGCGGTGCATTATGGGCACTGATCAAGGTTACAACGCAAGTGGGATATATATATATATATATATATATATATATATATATATATTAGGGTGGTCCTTAAAATGGTCATTTTCGAATTTCCTTGCTCCCAGGGGCTCAAATGGTTCCAAATTGATAAAAAACAATTCTCTGAAAGTTTTGGCTCTTAATATTAACGTTTAGATAGAGCGCAATTCAATCAAAGTTTGTATGGAAAGAGCATGGAAAATTTTTTGAAAATTAAAAAAAAATGTTTTAGGTATAACTTAGCGACAAATGAATGAGTTTTATTCATTCATTTGTTCGCTAAATTACATTGAAAAAACATTTTTAAAATTTTTGAAATTTTTTTCATGCTATTTCCATACAAAACTTTGATTGAATTGCGCTCTATCTAAACGTTAATATTAAGAGCTAAAACTTTCAGAGAATTATTTTTTATCTATTTGGAACCATTTGAGCCCCTGGAAGCAAGGAAATTCGAAAATGGCCATTTTAAGGACCACCCTAATATATATATATATACGTGGTCTGTTCAAAAAGTACCCGGAATTACTAATAATTAAATTTCGCGGGTCTGGAGTGTCTGATTGTCAAAATTTTTTTTTTATTGTGTTGGTATACATGCCCTAAAGTATGATGAAATTTTCAGCTATATTCACTGTTTACTTTGTCTGTGGTAGTCGCTAAGGTTCGACGTGTTTTTCTGAGCTCGGCGATTTTTACAATGAATTGAAAATCAAAGAATTTGTATTAAATTTTGCGAAAAAATGAAATAAAGTGTTGCAAAGTGCAAAAATTCACCAGATATGGCTCCGTGTGACTTTTCCTATTCCCAAAGTGAAGAGACCATGAAAGGACGGCGGTTTTCCTCGATTGAAGAAAAAAGGCCGAATGCTGAGAGTGCTCAAGGGACATATCAAAAAGTGAATATCAAGGGTGCTTCGAAAATTGGAAAAAAACGCTGGCATAAGTGTATTATATCTGGGGGGGACTACTTTGAAGGGGACCACATTAATGTAGACGAATAAATATTTTTTGAAAAAACGAAAATTCCGGGTACTTTTTGAACAGACCACGTATATATATATATATATATATATATATATATATATCTTCTATATATAAAAAATGAATCGCAAAATGTGTTGGTAAGCACATAACTCAAAAACGCCTGGACCAATTTGGCCAATTCTTTTTTTAAAATGTTCGTAGAAGTCCAGAGATGGTTCTTACGGCAAGAAAAAATCGAATAATTGCCGGGAAAACCCTAAAAACAAACTTTTTCTTTTTCACATACAAACGTTTACTAACTAAAACGTAGAATCAATTTGAGCTTTATATAAAGTTCATATTAAATCATAAGCACCCACTGTTTTTTTCCTCCTAAACGATTATTTGGATTTTGATAAAATTTTCTGAAATTTGTTAAGGAAATTTTCTAGAATGTATGTGATTATAAAGTACTGAGATGTATGTGCAATATTGTAGAAATCTATAATATAAAATAAATGGAAAAAATTGAAAAAAACGACATGTAGTCGTTTGCATTGACAATAAATGAAAACTATCATCTGCCAAAAATTCCAATTTACTTATGAATCTAAATATTATTAGAATAATTTATGATTATGAATAAGAAAAATGAAATGTCTACATTATTATTACCAAAAAGCAGCTGAGATGTGCCAGAAATTAAAATAATATAAGATACAGTATATATATGGCAGATTGAATGATATACATATGAACATGATATGACAAATTAATTCACTTAAAATATTAAATTAAGTATTAAACAGTCAATAATTATTATTTTTAGGTAAAGCGTAAATATTAGTATTATATTAAAAAATTGTAGGCATGGATACAGGACAACGTCTGTCGGGTCATCTAGTATATATATATAATTTCATTCATTAATTTATTACCTAGTCCCAGATCCGGCCAGTGTTCGTAAAGTGTCCATTTGGGGTCCTTGATGCCCCTGTTTTTGACAGCTAAAAGTTGACAAAGGTCAACCGCCCTTAAGTTCCTCTCAACTGTCACCAATTGGTAGGAACCGTCGTCATTGTGGAAAGACAACTCTTCCTGAAATAGAAAAATAAAATATATTTATAATTAAATTCATATATTGGACAGAAAGAAGAAAAACATACTTGCAGAAATAATTAGATCTATTACATAAAAAAAATCAGTTGCAAACTTATGATCCGAGTTAAATTCTGATTAGTAATAAAAAGGAGATTTTTTATCACAGTAATTTACGATTGAAAACGTATTGTCGATACTATAAGATCTTCTGGAGTATAAAATTTAAGCCTGGTCAATATAAAAATAAAAAGAATAAATATCAAAAAAAATTATGTTATGACACTGAATGTGGTTCAGCAGCTGATATGGAAATCACCAAAAGACTGAATTTAATTAGTTGTGATAATGCTTAACAATTATAAGTTAGAAAATTGAAAACTATATATTTATAAGCCATGTATCTATATATACCTTTTATGTATAGGTAAAATATATAGGTAAAAATCCTTCCACATATATAGTCAAAGGACACAAGTCGAATCAATAAAACGGAGGCTACCAGAACACTATAGGCGAACGGATAGAAGGGCGCCCCCATTTTTAGATGAAAACTCTAAATTTATATATATAGGCAATATATAAACCCTTTGTTTCAATCGATAAACTCAAAATAAAATATCATGAATAATAAAATAGGATTTTTCCTTTGTACGTTTATTCTCTAGATATGTCATCATTCAGCAGTTCCAAGAACACAAGAAAAAATAATAACACATAGTTTGATTCTTCAAAAAAACTTCTAGAATTTTTTTGTTTATAATATTAAGTTGAAAATAAATAAATACAAGTAATAATAATATATATCTATGCCATACGTTTTGTCAATGGAAGTGTGTCATCCCTAAATAGTTCATACCAAGAAAAACACTAATTTTTTTTTCAGTCATTTTTCAAATATGTTTCAGTAAAATGTTTATATACAATATGTCGAAAATAGAATAGATAATGAAAGAATTCTGTACGTTTCGACGTATTATGTGTTCATCATTCAGCAAGAAAAACATAAAACATTTTAATAGTTCACAGTAAGTCATCATTCAGCAGTTCAAACCAATGATAAAAAACAATATATTTTGTTTGATTTTTTTAAAATAAATTATAGCAAAAAATTGTATAAAATATCAAGCTGAAAATAAATAAATACAATTAAGAATAATATTTTATGTATATATATTCCGTGCGTTTTGGCAATGGATGTGTGTCATCCTTAAATTGTTCATACCAAAAAGAACAACCATATTTTTTTTCATTTTTTATTTTTTTTATTGCAAGTTCAAATTCTATAATAATATTAGTAGCCAATATTAAGTAGAAAATAAATTTCAATAAATTATATTTATACTGTACGTTTCGGCAAGAAATTTGTGTCATCCTTAAATAGTTAATATCAAGAACCCATAAAATTTCAATTTAATATTTTATACCAAGTTTTTTTTTCAAATTTTTCAAATTAGCACCCACTAAATCAAAAGTAAAATAGTACATTAGATTTATTCTTTATCAATCAGCTACACAATGCTTTTTTCATAGTTTGCAGTAAAACTATAGTAATCAAAAATGAACTAAGATTTCAAATATTTTGAAAGAACTTGTATTGAAAACTGTTATAGCTGATAACAGAATTTTATCAAAAATATTTTGATTTTATAACATTTATTTATTATGTTTTGCTCTGTTTATAATATAATGATTATAAAATAAATCGACAACGAACATGACAAAGTATGAATATCTCAGTTCAAGTTTTAAATTTGGATGAAATAAAATGAAAGATAAGAAATTAATATACTCTTGATAATATTATATTATTAATTCATAAAAATACCCATTTTTTTACAAATCAAAATTTTTCTGGTTATTCTCTAAATTATTTTCAAAAACATTCTTATTTGTTGATTTTATCAATATCATCTTGCGTCGTATTACGCATACCTTGCTAGAACTATTGAATGATGACACATATTTAGTACCGAAACGTACTAAATAAATCAATTTAATATTAATTCAGCAAATTTTTTATTGGTCTTTTTTTAAATCTAACTTATGTTTCTCTTTGTATACATTAGGATTCGATCTGAATACACCTGTAGTTCGCCAAATTGGCTGCTTTATTATAATATATATATATATATATATATATATATATATTAGATATATAATATAATTATATTGTTTACTATAATGACATATTTGTAAAATAAATTAACTATAAACGTAATCGCGTAGTAATAATTTGTTTTTATCTATTTCAATCGGAAATGGAAAAATCAACAATATTGATAGAAATAAACACAATGCATATATTTATATATATATATATATATATATATATTTGCATAATATGCGTGTAAAAAATTTATCGTCTCTTATCTAAAATAATATTTATGGGTCTAAACATCAATTTGTTGTGATGATAAGTCGGAATGTTTTGATTCTAATTACAAATTGCTGTCGAATTAAAAACCACGATAAAAGTTATTCTATGACAAATATAATAAACGATATATATACTAGCTGCCCACATAATTTGGCAAATATTTCAGAGAAAGGCGGCGAGGAATTCCCTTTGCATACTAATCCACCCAGTATAAAATGTTGCAAACTGGATTATCCAGGACAAAATTGTAAAACATCTTCCCTATATTTATATTAGCCCTTCTACTGTTTTATAAATTACTAGCAAACCCGACGAACTCCGTTTCGCCACCAGATGGTTTCGTGAGAAAGATGAAGAAATTTTTTGTCCTTTTATATTTGAAGAGGAAAAATTTGAATGTAATGTAAGTAATGAATTTATTTAGATTACAAAAATGCATTGTTTTTTAGTTGAACTTCTCTAAGTAAATGAAAGTGAATCCGCAAATTATCCGTTTCATTGAAGTGCTTTTTGGTAAACCACATTTTTTGTTTTTTGGTCTGACGTTAACACAAACAAAGCGGATGGTTTCCCAACTCGTGAACAGGCAACGTATAACTGCCCATGTGAAAATCATTGATTTTCTAAATAATCTATTTGAAATTTATCCCGCAAACACTAAGCGATGGCGAACTGGAAATTGCAATCGTTTGAAGTCAAACGGAAGACCAGTCGGAATCATTGGTATGTCACCAAATCGCCAGCAATTTTTGATTGAATGGTGAAATTCAGTGCGTGTACTACATATTTCTTGGCGGCAAGAATTGCTCGTTGCCTTAACCAAGCATAATTCCGATAATTCTCACTTATGTCATTACTCGAATTTTTAATTACGGTGCGTGAAGTTCCAGCAATTTGCATTAAGGCACGATGCCATGCACCACTAATTTTCATAGCTATAAACCTTGCGGAGCCCGAGACCTTTCCAACGAATGCAAAATTGTCGAAATCGGTTCGTGCGTTCTGAAGTTATATCGTCAGGAAGGAAAACCCGACTTATTTTTATATATGTAGATAATACCTCCGTTTCGAATTTGATATAGATGACATATACGACAGCAAAATTATATATCAATCCAAATTACCTAAGACAGGGATGAATATTTCCATTGTGCAGTATTTTTTATACCTTTCAAAATTTTGTAAACTTACTTTTTGTTTCATCAAGATCCCAAGAGTAAACCTAAAGTCCTCTTTATTAATAAATTAATTAGAACTATTTCCGGATGAACTACCTCTCTTGAGCCTGTCTTTTGTACAAAAAGATAAATGGCCGATGAAAGATGTCTATCTTTTGTTATCTATCTATTCTATCAATTTTAATTTATAATTGATTCTTGGCCGAAAGAAACATCTTCGCCGAAAGAAAGACAGACAGACTGGGACGACATTGTATGTCTCAAGGTAATAAATATTCTTAACGCGCATTCGTAACAACTAATTTTAGACTTGACAAAAACAAATCTATTTACTTCCAACTTCTACTTATGGTGATGGTGATGGCGAAGATCACATTTGATTTGTTTACTATCATTATCGGCATCTAATTGTGAAGATGGAAAATGCCGAAGGGAAATGATCCAAAGATGTGGATAGTCACAAGAAATTGAAAACTTTTGCGAAAGCTTTTTAACTCAAATCAAAACTAGTGGTGTATGGCATCGTGCCTTAAGGCAAATTGCTGGAACTTTCCGTACCGTAATTCGTAATTTCGAGAAATTTTAAACCTTTTCAAATTTATTATTACAAATACTGTAACTTTCATTATTTTTGCTATCTTATTGTTATATCTGTGCAAATCAAATCATAATCATAAATTATAAATAAACTCATCTCCAGAACATTTTCAATTTCATTTCATTTCATTTTCTCCCAAACAATTTCAAAAAAATAGTGATCCTGTATAGTCACAGTCTTAACGTATTCGCAAATAATTCTGTGCAACATTTTCACTTATACTGTGCTTAGCTTGACGGCATTTTCACATTTGTTGAAGATAGAAATGAGAGGACTCTACTGACGATCAAACTGAATTTGTCAAAAATCAAGAAATGGAATTCTACTGACGAGCAAACTGAAATAATTTGTTCGACGCTGAAATATTTTCTAGAAAAGTCTATTTGCAGCCAAATAGTCAAAATAACAAAAATCTGATGTACGTTTCGACACGTTACTGTATGTGTGCTATCAATCAGCATGTTTAACAAATTCTAAAAAATATCTCACAAAGTTTGAAAAAAATTACGTTAAGTTTGAAAATGTCAAACAAAAAAATCCAAGGTTTATATATATATAAATATGTATATATATGTATATATATATTATATATATATATATATAGAAAATGTAGATTTTTTATGATCTCGGCACGTGCCTATACGTAATTGCTGTTACGTAAAGAATCCCATTAAATTCCGAGAAGCCCTTTTAGAAAATTCAGAGTTAATTGCAATCGATATATATATATATATATATATATATATATATATATATATATATCTGTGTGTGGTATATATATATATATATATATATATATATATATATATATAAAGATTTAATTAGTTCAGTATTTCTCCAATCAATGATTCGAAACGAAACGTGTGAACGAATAAATTTTTTTGAAAGCCCTAAAGTATATTGAAGATTGGCTAAACCATAAAGACATAGGATAAAATACGATTTTATTCACAAAAGTACAAAAGCCGCCTCGAGGATCACCTAAGTTCACTTGCGTGACAAACTACCAGGGTCAGATTAAAAAAAAACTAATGGTGTATAGAAAAGAATTAAAATTAAAATCTGAATTATTTTTGATATACAAAAAAAAATCTTGAAAAAAACATTTTTTTTAAAAAAATAGTAACGAAAATGTTTTTTCCAAAAGCAATTATTTTGTTTAAACAAGCAGAAAGTTCTTTGAATAATTCAAATCAGACGCTTAGTTCACTCAAAAACTGCCATTTTTTGCACATTTAGCTCTGTATGTTCGAAATGGCAGGACCTGCCTTTGCCAAAAACTAATCAGCACATCTCCCTATCAATAGGGATCGAATGTTTTTCAAACCATTCAAATCGGTTGACCCGTGGATGAAAAAATGCAGACATACAAAACACACACACACATCAATTTTTTCTGAGATATGCCAAAATATTCAAAAACCTTCAAAACGTCGAGAAATGCAAAAATTTTCGTTTACGATTTTCGGCCTATTACTATGACGGAAGTTAATAAGTGTTATTAGAAGGTACGTGTGAGGATACATATTTGATACTGGCAACGGCAGAGAACTAACCTCCAAATGGTATAAATATCAAAAAGAAACATTAGTTTGACTTCAGACATATTTCATTAATAAGTGCAACTCTAAAGTAACTTATTGCTTAAAGTAACTAAGCGCTTATCACATTAAAACAGTGTTTTCCAACTTTTTTTGCATCCTCTTATTTTTTCAACAGTTTAATTTTATAAATTATTCAACTGATATTAATTTATAGTATTATGTTAAAAAATGCATAAAAACTGATTGTTTTTTGTTTATTTTTTAATATCGTTCCAAAAAGATTGGATTATTTTCGATAAATGTACTCTGGAAACAGATGTACGGGCCCCACAGGTTGGGAGCCGCTGCATTAAGCCGTGGAACTTATAAAAATGTAACTGTGAAAAGCTATTACACTTTTTTAAAATTATATTACCTTCGCTTATTTGGTTTATACTATTCATTTTTATTATTCTTTATCTAACATTACTTCTTGTTCTAACATCTAATTCTTTTCTATCTCAAAATAACAATTCAAATTCTACTTCAACCAAACGAAATGATAATTCTGTCAGTACCAGGACTCGAACCAAAAACCCTTCGGACATCAGCTATTACACTTACAGTACCATTTTGAACAAAATAATGTGTAACCCAAAATATATAATTAAAATAACTTCGTCTTCTATTACCTGTTTCTCGTTAGTCGAGTCCTTTCCCTCCGAATAGTCTCCCGATCCCGAATCGAAGCCGAAGTCGTCATCGTTGTTCTCGGGCGAGACCGAGGCGGCGGCCGTCATGCGCCTGAACAGGTCGGCGGTCGCCTGCACTTCATCGTGCTGCGTCGGGCTCAGTCGCTCGTATTCGGGCGTACCCGCCAGCAGGCAGGAGCACTTGACGCCTGATGGCAGCCGGCACCAATCTGGAAGAGGAAAAGAAATAATGTGAATGGAGTAAAAGACAAGAAGGGCGAATAATATTGTATACACCACTAGTTTCCGTTTAGAAAATCAAACAGGACTGAATTTTTAGTTTTAGGTATTTCGTAAGCATTTCATAAGCCTATAATATTTTACGATGTTCATTTAGCTTTAGATCATGATATCTATCTTATTTATTAGGTATATTTTTTTTAGAAAAATTGTTTTTAACTACCCTACGGGAAGTTAATAAAAAAAATGCTCTTATACACAGTTGTGATGTGATATTATACTAAACTAGCTAACCCGGCAAACGTTGTTTTGCTAAGTAAGGTATGTTCTAAACAATTTCTAGAGAATCAAAAATGTTAATACTTTAAGTGTATCATTCAGTCTTCGGACACGGTACCGATAACATCGGAGCAAAGCAAAACATTCGATATTTAAAGTGAATTAAATCAGTATTTATCTGAAATAATTTTGTGACAAAGTGTAAACAAAACCTTTTATCAGGTATAAGTTTCAGTGAAATGTCCCCCGTCGGTGGGGACCGAGAGACCAACGGTCTGATAGTACAAACATTTAATGTTCTCAACAATATGGATACATTTGATGAAAATGAAACAATTAATACTCCAAGTAGCCCAGTTCCGAGCACCAGCGCATTACAAACTGCAAGTACATCTAGCAATAACTCTCAACAAAACAATGCAGCAATACTGAACACAACCGGCGTTTCTTGGCAGGTAATTAGCAACAAAAAAACGTAAAATAACACCGAAACCATTAGAATCAATTACCAACAAAAACCGATTCACGGCTTTATCATCTATCAACATGGACAATGACAGTCCAGTTCAACCGATTGTAAACAAACCTCCTCCTATTTATGTGTATAGCGTCGATAAAATAAACGACATGAAAGAAGCAATTAACAAGATCATTCCACGCGAACAATATTTTCTAAGAAGTTTGGCAAATAATAATTTCAAAATTTTTTGCAGCACAATTGAACAATTTCGAACTTATCTAGTTATTTAAAAATTGCAAACGTAGTTTTCCATACGTATCAATTGAAAGAAGAAAAAGCCTATAGAATCGTAATAAGAAACCTACACTATACCACTGACATCGACACTATCAA